TATTATTGTATTATTCTTACTTGAGGAAACAAATAATATTTTAAGAGTACTAAAATTCATTTTACCATTGCTAAATTCTCACATTCTAATTAAATAAATAATTTGAGAAACAAATTACATGTTTATGTTCGTTTACCATATCTGTCTCAATTTGAAATTAATTTTAATTCCCATTTAAATTGCTTGATTCATAGCAAGCAGCTTATTTCCGCGAAGCAACAGGGCTGATACGCAGTCTGGCTCAGCCAGCTGGCGTCTGTTAGTGCGCATCCCTGGTAACTGTGTATTTGTTTAGTTTTTGTGCGAATTATTTTGTTTTTCTGTCCAATAATTGGTGTACAATAAGTAGTTAATTGTGTTAAAGATGAGTGCGAGCGACACAACAAAGCAATTATCGATTGTGGATATACGAAATTATATGCTGCAAAACGACGGCAAGGTGACAAATCATGCGCTCGTCAAGCACTTCAAGAAATATCTAACGCACACACAAAGTGAGTCAGAGACAAATTTATGTGTATTCGCATATTTGACAACAACCTGTTGACATCATAGAGTAATGCAATCTGATAGGTAAACTAAGCCCTACTGAAATCTCAATTTCAGATGAGGCCGAGGCACGAAAGCGTTTCAAAACCTATGTGACGCTGCTCTCCACCATCAAGAATGAAAACAACCAAAAGTATTTAATACTGCGCAAAAAGTATATCAATGAGTGCCCGAGCGAGGAGGTTGTGGAACGCGCCGTCGCGGCTGCGGGCACTGCCTCTGCGCCCTCCAGCCCGGGAGCTGCTTCCATAGTGTCCGTAACCGATAGCGGCATGTCGCCAATGAGGCAGCCGCCACCCTATAAAGCGCCGCCCGAGGTGCAGCAGTCGCCAGCACCAGAGCCGGAACCAAGTGTTCCAGTGATCGCCGGCTTGGCGGTGCATCAGGATCAAGTTGAGACCTATCGCGAGTGCGTTAACGAATTCACAGCTGCCATGCAACGCATTGACCCGGCACGCCTCGTGCGCCAATCCGACATCGACAAGAAGAACGAACAAGACACCGAAACCAGTGCCAACGGTAACGCCGATGCCAATGCCGCTGCCACTGCCGATGCCAATGGCAATATCAATGCCGAGACCAATGCTGATCCTGATATTAATGGCAATGCCAAGTCTATATCTCGGGTGAATTCCGTGGACGAGGGCAGCAATAAGGAAAATATACCGCGTTTCTCCTTCTCGTCGGGCACCTCCACTGATAGCTCCTCTGCAGAGAAGGCAGACACAGCTGAGAATCCCATCAGTGTTAAGGAAGCGACACGCAAATTCAACCGGATGGCCTCCGAAGAGGAGGCGAAAATAATATCGCCGCCGCCCAAGAAAAAGCCAGAAAAGGTATGTCTTCTTTATGTTTAACAAAAACCGGTTAATTAACCCATGCGAATATGGATGCGGGTGCGRGTGCGGGTACAACTGCTTCCCATTGCCTAAACTAAACAGTTCCACATCGCTGCTGCTGCTGCAGTTCCAACCAGACTCTGTCTTACTTCCTGTGGGAAGTGTTTAGTGTTTTTTCTTTTGCATAAAACAAATTTGTCTGTTCTTATTGGCAACTAACAGAATTCCAAGACATATTTGACCTGGCCTACACAGATTCTTTGAACTAGTTCGCATAGCAATAGAGATATGAGGGTGTTTTTACCTGACACGCGGGCACTTAGATCCCACTCTCACTACCTCTTCCTCTCTCTCTCTTTCTCAGTCGGTCTCTTTCTCAAATATAGCTCGAGTGGAACTGCTGGTCACGAACTAGCACTACCAGCACATTCGACTTGTACATATCCATTAATTTTATTCTCCTACAATAAAATGTGAGATTCATAAACATTACAAGCGTCCGCTACAATGTGTTTTCGTCACATATTCTTTTGTGACATATGTATATATAAATGTATATAGGTATATATGTATATATAAATTACATGCGTACATGCATTGAGCGACGCATGTACTATTGTTAAAGTAGATACAAGTAAAGTTTATTGAAAAATAAGTTCTTTAATGTAATTGTTAAAGCTTTTCTATATAGGAAAATCAGATGATTATACAATAGGCAAATGTAAAGAGCAGTTTTCTTTATTTCTTATAGCAAATACCTATTACAATATCAAAACCATGATTTCACTACGCTCCTTTCGTAATAGCTTGAAAATCCAACATCTAACCGATGTAATATTTGCTTTACTTATAATTAGCCATGCAGCAACTCAACTTGTTCCCTTTGAGCATGCATTGAGCAAATTTTTAAAAATATATATTACATATATATATAGTTGGTATATCGGCCACTACATATAGCTGACAATAAAAGGCGACAACATGTTAAAATTTGTCAAGCGTTACGAGAAAATCGTTTCGTAGCAAATGTTGCGAGCTAAAGACGAAGGCAATTACCATTTGGGCCCGAGCATTGACAAACAACTGTCATCCACTCAGGGCTGTCAATCAAAAGTGTTTAGGGTTTAGGCATAGGCAACTGCATAAATCATTCCGCTACGTCCGGCCAAGATGAATATGTCTATGTCTATACCCCCCCGCCCACAGATATTCCAGAACGAGCCAGGCGACAGGCGCAGCAGCAGTAGATGTATGTCAAAAGCGAACTCCGAATTGTCAACTGCATGTCAAGCGCTATAAAAACTCAACTCAACACTCGACTAAAACACTAACGAAAAAGACTTAAGTGTTTATTTGTGCACACACACACAGACACGCACTCGCTTCCACTTATGTGTGTTAAATTAATGTTTACATATATCGAAACGTCTTGCAGCGTCTAAGAATCACAGCATTTATGTTGGGTTTCTCACGTTTTTCATGTTTCCGGATTAATGTGGCCCGAATTACATGCAGACAACGATATTTCCTCTTTTAGCTGTTGTACAAAATATGATTTTAAACAGGGTATTTGCAGATATTTATAAATACAGTCTTAGCCTACATTATGATTTTTAAGAATATATTTTCTATTATTAACAATCCTTTACATATTTCCCATTATTCCCAAACCTAGTTAGATATCTCATTACAAATCATTCGAAAGTTATCTAGGATCGATGATCTGATATTCAAGACAGTTTCATGATCTGTTTCATGCTCATCATTGTCGAAGCCGTGGAACCTGTAAAAATTATTAACAAATCTGTGCGCTAACAAGCCAAATCAGCATTCAAAAATACAAAAGAAAATGAAAGAAAAAAGTAAATAAATAAAAAAATTTGATAGACGGCGCCAGCAATCTTTATCTATCACAAACCCAATGTATGTGAAACCCCCTTGATGAATTATGTTTAATACAAATATTATTAATCATCTCAGAAATTGTGGAAAAAGTGCCAAATCATTCATGAAAGAGTTTCGAAATGGAATTCTGCCCCTTCTGCTTCTGCTTCTTCGTCGTCTTTTGCTTCTTCTTCTTGTTCCATAGATCCATCAATATTATAGACCGTGAAATTTAGGCGCCGCAACCGTAAGCGCTGCGGGTCAAATCTGCCTTCGAGCTGATCAATTAAATTCGTTTCGAGTGTTTTTAATTAGCTTCATGAGTTGGCACTTTGCGCATTTAGTCAGCACCCACTGTAGCCTCGACACATACAACTATTTAAATTGCTTAGCTATCGTTGAGCTGCAGTTAATTTCAGATGTAGATAACTATCCAGTGTGTTTATTAAACTTGACTTTTAATAGAAAAAATGTTAATCCGAAGAGTAAACTAAAATACATAGAACGAATATAAAAGAACTATAGAGAAGAAACTATTAGAGAAACTATTGAGAACTATTTTTTTTTAAATCTTTCTACTAGATTTCCAGAAATGAATTTATAAAAGATTTGAAATACTTAAAACGAGCTAAGCATCGTTACTCAGCTCAAAGTGAGTATTTAGCACACATAAAGGGTTTTTCCCCCAATGTTCCCCTATTCGACTCTTTAATAATTTCCCAAGCTCCCCCAACAGTTTGGTCGAGCTTTAAACCAACTTTGGCTCAATTTTAATATGAGACAAATCTGGGCAACTTCATTGAACCCGCTCCACACCATTTTTGCAGGGAATAGTGTTTGCCCAACACTAAAATGACAATTTTGAAACAACCCTAAATTCCATTTATGCTACGCTTAGAAGGCATTGAAATGAAGCTCCAACTGCAGCATCAAACAAACCACATATATTTTTATTAACCCACAAGGTACTTTGGTGGCCAAAGTCCGTGTCCCAATATGCATATTAAGCCCGAATGAGAGGTTGGTCCTGCCAGAGAGAGAGAGAGAGAGCGAGCGAGAGGGAGAGAAAGGGGGCGAGATAGAGAAAACCCTTTTTTTGGATAGAAACAAGTTGGTGAAACATGTTAACATAGCCAATAAGCAGCAATAGAAATTAGTTAGGCAAAGCTATAGTCATCAGGCAGGAAGGCGAGCGGGGAAGGCGGGCGAGCGACCGAACGACCGACCGACCACAAAGGACCCAATTAAAAATGTAAGGAAACAAACCAAAAGTTGTTATTGCTGTTAAACAACAACGCCGTATGTCCCGAAGCGGTTAAATTTACAAACAGCAACAATGTCGACCCGATCGAAGCGGACAATGGCACAGCGGACTGCGAGTGACTACGGGCGGAAGGCATACGGCAATACGGAATACGGCAAACATGACCATTTTGTGGCTTCATTCCGTTTTTTCTCTAGTTTTTTTGTGTGTTTTTTGAAAAGGGAGTCAAAGGTAAGTTTCGGGTGGCAAACGCAAACACAGCGAACGACGAGGACATGCTACAGTCTGCTCTGGTCTCTGCTGTGCTCTGGTGTGGTTTGGTCCGATCTGCAGCCGGACAATGGCCAGCCGTGTGATATAATATCTTGCATAAAGGGACACACACAGGACATAAGAAAGCCAGTCAGCAAACAAGCGATTGGGGAGAACTGCCCCCAACTTGAACTGGGAGGTGGCCGTGCCCAATGACGACGACGACGACGACGAGTAGCAGCAGTCGTCGGCAACATTTTTCGTTTTTTTCGATTTTTTTTTTTGGTTTGGTTTGTGTGTGGGTGGCTACTTGGGGGCGTTACGGTTCTTTTGTTTAGCATTGACATGGCCACTTTGCCCGGGGCCTTACTTTGCAATGTTTGTCCTGTTATGTTGCTGTTGCCGTAGCCGTAGCTGTAGCTCTGCCTCTGTTTTGGTTTCATTTGCTCTCTCGCTCACCTTGTTGGGTATTCGGCGAACGGCAAACGGCAATGCGGCGTGTGGCATGCGGCATGCGGCATGCGGCATACGGCATTTGCAAATGGCGCCACCTGAAGCGGGTGGTTAACGGGATTTAAGCACGACGGCGAGTAATTGGAAAAACGTGAGCACTCCCAAAGTCAAGTGGCGTGTAAATATATGAAAGGAGTTACGGCTGCTGCTGCTGCTGCTGCTGCTGCATCCTGCGGCTAAATGCCCCAACCATGTGTATGCCGCATTTATTAGCTATGTGTAACATAACGTAACGAAGCGAGTGCTGTTTGCTCTTCTTTTATTTTCTTTTTTTTTTTGTATTTTGTTGCTGTTTAGTGGGGGTGTGGCATGCAGAGAGTTACAGGTAAGCAAATGCCTGACTCTTTTGCAGCCTTGTTAGCAAACGCGAAACATTATGCGAATGGATAATTAGTTGCCGAAAATGTTTTCAGCGCTCGTAAATATGAGAGGCAAGCACACATGTTGCCAGCTATTGTTGTCGTTGTTGTTGTTGTTGTTGCTGATGTGGCACATGTGTCTGCCTGCGCCCCTCGCTCATTAGAGAGCTCATTATCAATGGGAATGCGTGGTGGTTAAACAGCTACCCATTCCCGAAACAAAAAACGAAGAAAAAACATGAGGCACAAATACTGGAGTGAGAGAGGAAGCGGGAGAGAGAACAAGAACTTTTTGGAGCTCTATTTCATTTAGCGCATCGCTAAAGAAAACCCGGCGCACCAAATGCCTAAAGCACGCGCCTAATAAATAAAAATTATTACCTTCATAATTATGGCAAGAACATGCCGTCGTCGTCGAATGTGTGCGCATAATTATGCCAGCTTTTTACACTCGCATAGAAAGTGAGCGAGAGAGTGAGAGGGGGGAGAGGGAGAGGGAGTAGGAGAATTCCAATCCCGCCCAGAAACCGTGTGGCTGCTACAACGATTGCCTTGCCACATGTGAGTGTGCGTGTGTGTGTGTGTGTGTTTGAGTGTGTGCGTGTGAGTGTGTGTGTGTGTTCTAAGATGTGTTGGCGTTAATGCTTTCAATGGGCTTTCTATGTTTTATGCCCGTTTCACATATATGCATATACATATATATATATAGTAGATATAATTTTTGTTTTTAACGCCCCGCCCCCGCCTCGCTGCTGTAGGCCTACTCTGAATTTTGTAAAATGTTGTGACAGAAACATGCATAATTAATTTATGCGCTTTGGTAACCCGTTTTTATGTCTTTCAGCAGCTAATTGAGGAAAAGGACTCACCCGATGTCACATTGTCACATCCGAAAGCCAAGGAATGGATTGTCGCCATGGCCAAAGTCAATTATCAGGAGCTCGCTAAGCTAGCTAATGATTATCCAGAGCTCGTCAAATTGCAGGTTAGTAAAGAGATTATAATTTGTTATATTTATAGATATAGAAATCCTATTTATACTCTATATTACACATATGTTAGAAAAATTCCATTTGAGTTCCTCCACAGATAAAATATAAGGTCTTCCTGGATTGTTCAGCGATAAGATTTGATTTCCTCTCAATTTTTAAATACCAAATAAGTACTGTTCAGCTCCAACATTGTGCAGAGAATTTTAAATGAACTCAGATTGCGTCTCACTAATTTCTAGTATCGTACAAATAATTATGCCTGCATTTTTGCCTAAAATTAACTTTAATTTAGGATTTCAAACTATTCCAATAGCTGTTTTACAGTTAGCCTAACATTTATTAGCCACGATTTGTCAGTTGAGATTAGCCAAGAAGAAGAAGAAGAAGAGGAAAAGCGAAGCCAACACACAATGCCTGAGGCAGAGGCAGAGGCAGGCGCAATCATTGGCTCGACTTAAGCAGCTCGAACAAATAAAGACAAGTACAAACTATTCATAAGCATTAATTACGACAAATTAAGCAGCAACGCGTTGTTTTTGCCATGTCGAACAACATTTAAAAATGCGAGAGAGGAAAAAAAATCAGATATATATATATGTGTATGTGCATATGTATGTATGTATATATAATGACAGTTGGCGGCGGCAGTACGTGGCACAAAAAAAAAATATATCAGAAAAGTAAAGCACTGCCAGCCCCAGTTGCTGCCTCTGACAATTAATTGTGAAATATGTTTTTCAAAATTTTTAGCACTTGTAGTGCATGTTTTCTCTAAAAAAAAAAAAATAGAAAAATAATAATACGAACTGAAAAAGTGGGCGTTAGCTGAGGAAACAATTTTTCCGAGCGAGAGCGTGGGCCTCGAAACAAGCTGCGACAATTGCCATTAGGCGAGAGGCAGTCGGCAAATGCAGCCAAAACTTGACCCACTAGGATGGACCAAAACGTGCACAACAAATACACTTACACACACACACACACAGAGAGTTGTGTATCTGTGTGTGAGTGTATGTTCTGGTACATGTAATTTCCATTTTGGACAGACAATTGTATACAAGCGTTTGACAGAACACGTGTTTATATTTGTACTCGCTCTCATCAGAGCGATTTTAAGCAATGCTTTTTACAAGCCCCGCAATTGTCGCCGGTAATAGAACAGCTATAAACACATGTTTAATCAAATTATATAGCTGGTAGTCTACATCTACGTCTACATCGATGTCGACGTCGATGTGATATCAAAGGCGAACACACAAATGTCACAAATGATTAAAAACTGAGTTAAGAAATAGAATTATTTCTGACATCGAGCAGACGAAACAATTTTGCGCTAACTTATTGTTGTAGATAAATGTCATATTAAATGTCATTTATGACAATGGTCATAAATTAGCTTGCCCAACAATTTATTAAGCTACGTTTATTTTGTTTTTCTTCTAATATATATGACAGCACTCGAAATACAGAACATTTTCGATAGGGTAGTGCGGGTGGGCTGGGAAACTCTACGAAAATCTTTTCCCCCAAAAAATACAACAAAAAATGAACCGAAAATATTTGCTAAAAGGAGGCAATCTTTGGGGACTGCTGCCTGCTGCCTGCTGCGGTGTCTCTCAATTAGAGAACATTTTGGGTCCCACAAATATACATATTTTTATGTGTGGCATGGCTCTGGCTTCTGCCGCTGCTGCTGCTGCTGCTGCTGCTGCTGTGCCCTCTACACGATATTTCCATGAAGATGATTTATGCCAGCCGCAAGCGAACATGGGTCGCACTCCCGAACGATACCAGCTCGGAGTCGAATGAGCAAGCCTTAACTTATGCGAACTAATTGCCGTACAAATGCAATGTTCCCGGAAATAATGGATTCCGTACTTTATACTATATATGTATGTATGCAAATCTTGAATGCCATAAGTGCAATCAATTAATACGAGAGCGCATCTCGTCCTCTATCTCTCCCCGCCCTCTTGAGTGCAAGTGTGAACGAATGGCAGGCAGCTCATTAGCGGCGCTTGCAATTCCCCGAATCACTGAAATCGCAATGAGACGGAAATAGCAATAAATCAGAGACACGATTGTCACTTAACCTAATGTCTCAACTCGTTCCCAGCACGCACGCACGCACGATCTCACTGCCAATCTCATGGTGCTTTCTATACATATATATATAAGATTGGTTTATTCATGATCATGCAGTTTAGTTAATGATTTGATAAGCTTATATAGCAGTTGAATGAATTTAGTTAAAGAATTGATAACATTATTTATGATTTCCATGATTTGCAATCTACAACTACAACTCTTTTAATATTCATCATATTTTATCTAACTTTTCCATTTAGCTATTCGATGTTGGTTTGCTCTCTGTAGTTAATAGTTGTTTGTATTTCAAGTTTAATTAAATTTTCTGCAATCAGCAGCTGCCAAAATAACAAAGCTCCAGACTCATTTCGAATTCAGTTACGCTCTAGGCCTGCCAAATCCTTTTTTCCGTTTTCCCCATGTTCAGACTCTGCACACATGCGACTGGCATCATGTGGCCACATGTCCATCCTCTCTATCTACATTTATGCATATGTATGCACGTCTATGTCTAGGTATGCTAATAGTAGGCGCTTATAAAGTGTAACAAGTTTTGTATTAATTAAAAACTTTAGCTGCCGAATGTCCATGTGTGTGAATGTATTGTGTGTGTAGTTTTAACAATTTCTATTTGTATACCCTGTAAATTTTAAAGGGTGGGTAAGAAAGTGTCTAAGAGAAGAGAACTTAGTGAAACTATTTTATAATTAGTCTCTATTCTTGTTCAATTTGATAAATTCATATTACGAAATTGTTAACTGAAACAGCTCATCAACTTATCGATAATTATCGATTTGTTTTTTAAAGTATATCTCGAGATATATAGAACCGATTCACATGAAATTTGTAAGGCAAATGCGCGTCAGCTATATATAGCTTAATGATAAATCCTTTCTGGAAACTCCAATCAATAAATATAAATAAACTGATTGTTTTCTGCCCATTCCAGGTAACTTCTAGTCATGACTCGTCCACTCTTCATTCATTTTCTATTACCTAACAATGTAAATACCTATATAGTGAATACAACTATGAACACTCACTTGCACTCAATTACGAATACGAATAGTCGCAAGCATGCTACACGTGCTGCATGTGGAATGAAACGCGAGTTTTTGACTGTTTGTTTGCCGTCGCATCGGTTCTTTTGGGTGGGGCACAGCGTGGTCCGCTTTGAGTGGGGGGAAGGGGGGAGGAGCAAGCGGACCGCCCAATAGTCGAGCATGCAACGTTTTGCCATTTCAGCTTGTAGCCATTGTAGTTACTCTTGTTGCTGTTGTTGTGCGTCCCTTTCATTCAGTCAGCCATGCAGCCATATACGAACTGCCATCCAACCAACCATCCATCCATCCATCAACGTGTTTGACCTAGCCGGCGATTCGGCTTGACATGCGAGTAAATTGAATTTTCCTTGTTTCACATTTGTTTTGACTTGTTTTTACTTTGTTTTTCCTTTTTGATTTCGGCTGTGTGTTGTTCGAATTACTTATTCAAATTAAAAAATATATATTTTTTTTCTTTTTTTGTATTATTTTTGCTGCATATGAACAATGACTGGGCACAAAAATGTTGTCGATGTTTCACCTTCAACTCTTTCCACTATTTACATAGTACATACGTGCGCGTATGTGTGTGTGTATTAGCATATGCGAACATACCTACATATATGTAAGTATGTGTTTTGGCATTTCAAAGTGTCTGTGTGTGTTTTTTTTTCTGCTGACTTTGCCTCGTGTTAATTATAACTCCCAACAGCAATTTACAGCTTAAGCTTAGACAAGAGCTATAATTCTTTTCATTCCAGCTACAAATTGGTCAAGTATAGCTATAATATATTATATTTATTTTACTCCTTAAAAGAGCTATCTGAATCGAATATTTTTCTACTGTCTGCTATAAAATATTACACGAACTGCAGGGTATTTAAATATCTGTAAAAGGAAAAAAAAACAAACTCTAGTTATGTATCTATGCCGGTATTTAATCTTTGATGTTGAGATCTGGCTACCTGTTTCACTTAGACCCACTTTTCCGCTGGTAGCCGGGCCAAGCCATAGGTGAAAGTAATTGAAAGCCGGCTGGCTTTTGATGAATGATAGTCGTATACCCCAACTGCTGCCGGCTGCCCTCGCAATGCCTGTGGGGCCCAGAGCGCTCTAAACTCAAAGGTGAAATTGTAGAAATGACCGTGAACTTTTCAGCAGGTCGTCAAAGAACAGCCATAAAACGTCTGACACCTTTTGCCAGAGACACTGTCGGCCGGTATTATAATAAAAATTTAACCCACAGCAAATGTCAGAAGCGTCAACAGTGGCGCCTTTTGCCAGGTCTCTTCTAAATCCGTCTACATCGGAATACAGAAGAAGAACATCAAAAACGAATAGAACTTGTGGAAATACTGACTCGATCTGCCCCGTTCCGCCCCGTTCTGCTCCGCTCTGGTCTGCCCTCGGGCTGTGGCCATTAAATTGGAGGTGACAATTCAATCAACGCATCCGCCAAAGCAGCCGACGTGAAATGACTGAATCCTTTCCAGAAATCAAATCAAATGTGTTTACGACCCCAATCTTGACATCTTTTGCCGACTGGCGGGGCTGCATCGCCTCGTTGGTGGCTTGGCACAATTTTATGCCGTTGCGTAGCTATTAAATTTAATTAGAGCTCTCTGCTGTCGCTACCGCCATTGGCCGTCAGCGGCACATAAATGTCACCAAAAATATTCTACTGAAATACAGATATATATATGTGTGTGTATATATGTGCATATATATGTATCAAATGATGCCGCCTGCTGCGCACAGTGTTCAAGAAGTACGACTGCGTGTCTCTCTTTATTTAGCTCCCCGTGGATATGTGACTTACTTATATAGTTCATCAGGGCTCGCTAGCACCGTCGCGTCATCAAAAA